GCCATAATTTCTTATTTTAAATAAAAATATTAGTTTCAAGATTCCAAAAATAATTTCACACGCATATTTTAAAATGTAGATAATACTTAATTTGTGTAATGCTAAGCCACTGTCATACTACCTTTAGCATTTATTTTTTGCATTTCATTTTGTTTTTTGCTAATAGCATATAAAGTAACGAGTAATGATTCCTAATAATTCCTATCAATTCCTAACTGATTCCTAATGATTCCTTCTTTCACTTTCATAGTTTTCCTTCTACCTTTATAAATAATACAATTATGTCTCAAGAGTTTAGCGAAGATTTGTGCTGGCGTGTTGTTTACCTTCATACTGAAGGATTATCAACTTTAGAAATTTCTAATACTTTATATATGAGCAAAGGTATGGTAAATAAGATAAAAAGGTGATATAGGTATTGGATGTGTGTCAAGAATCCCTTTAAAGGTGTTCCTGGCTGAAGAAAATTATTTAGTAGAAGGGATCTGAGTATACTTAAAAATCTCATTAGAGAAAGAGTGGACTGGTACTTGGATGAATTGGTATATGAAATGGAATATTTAATAGGAAAGAGGGCATCTATTTCGGCACTTTAGCGTTTACTTCACTATTTGGGAATTACTAGGAAAAAGGTAAAATAATATATTAGTAATATAATGAACATTTATCTAAAGAAAATATTTGTTTAAAAAATTTTTATTTTGATGTAAAGTTGCAAAAAGTAGCATCAGAAAGAAATGATATTGTTTGTGTACACTATTTAGCTACAATTGGTGAATATTATACACAAAATCAACTCATTTTTCTGGACGAAAGTTCAAAAGATGAAAGGAGTTTGTCTCGGTTATATGGGTATTCGTCTAAAAATACACCTGCTCAAAAAAAAGTAGTTTTTATATGTGGAAAAAGATATACTATCTTACCTGCACTTACAATGGAAGGGTTTGTTACTATTGATGTATTTGAAGGATCATGTGATAGAAAAAGATTTGTTAACTTTGTTCTTGGTCAAGTGGTAAATAATAACTAATAATTATTTTATTTGTTTTTTATACTGTAATTGATAATGTTTCTTTTTATTTTTAGGTTCCTATAATGAATCCATATCCAGGAGACAATAGTGTTATTATAATGGATAATGCTAGGATTTACCATGATTAAAGATGAGGGATGAAACTCAAAAAAGGCAATTAATAAATAGCCGAAACTATATTAAAACATAGTGAGGGTACGACGAAATCCTGAAACCCAAAATTAGCCGAAACTATATTAAAAACATAATAAGGGATATGACAAAATTATTTTGAGAGAGTTTTGGCTAGCATCTTTAACCATGATATTGAGTTAATAACATTGTTAGAAGGATTAGGTTGCTATGTTGTTTTTCTTCCCCCTACTCTCCAGATTTTAATCCAATTGAAACTGCATTTTTAACTATCAAGTCATGGATTAGACATAATCGCGATTTTATGGAAGCATGTAATGATCAATATATGCATTATTGATTGCATGTAGTCAAATAACTCCTCAGATAGCAAAATCATATTATGAAGGATCAATTTATATTTAGAAAAATTTATTTGTAATCAATTTATTTAGAAAGAATAAAAAAAATGAAAGTTATATTTATTAAAATTTATTTCATCAATTTTTATTAAACTATTCACAAATACATTTAGAATCTTTGGGCCGCCTGTTTAATATTCTTTTGCCACCCAATTTTCACTATACCTAACCTGTATAATTGATCATCTGATAAATCTTTTATAACATTAACAGTAATTTCTTCATCAAGAAAAGCCTTTTCAAAACTAGCATATACCTTAGAATTATGCTTTTGATCTAAACTATTGAGAAATTCCTCAATAGAAGGTATTGGTGATGTTGGTGATGCTGTTTTTGCATTATTAGAAATGCATGATGTTGATTGTTTCTGCTGATAAAATTGCGATGGTAATTAGATAATAATTGGAGTAACAGCAGAAGGTGGTTGTGATTGTATAATTGAATTGTTTTTGTTGACAAATACGTCTGATTTTATATCAAAGGTTGGAAAGGATGGAGGTATTTCATAAGTTGCTCCTTTGTTTATCTAAGTAAAATTAATGATGATAAGCTTTTTATTTGAATTTATAAAAACAATATATAATTAATATTCATATAATTTCACAGGCCCAAAGTTGTAATCTTGCAGGATTAAGTTATAAATGCTGATTATCTTGAATGTAACATAGTGTTGCATATGAATTGCATTTATACTTTGAACACAGTACATTAATAACTTCAGCTCGCATTTTTCATCCTTCGTTAGATCATCTTCTCGAGTGGAACGAGATTTTTTTTTTCTTGCAGGTTCTAACTCAGTTTCTTTTTCAATAGAAGAGAATACACTTTCATTAGAATCCTAAAAAAAAATATCTAAATATCAAATTTGTTATTTTGTAAAATATAAATAATTTTTTTTTTTACCTTTTTATATTTCTTTGCTGACTTTTTTTTATCTTTTACAACTATTGCTATTAACATTTTTTTTCCAGATAAAAATGCTTTCCGATACTCATCAATAAATTCTTGAAAGTCTGATCTATCTTCAAATGTATTTAGAGGTTCACGTGCATTTACTGTCTTATATGAAATATTATAATCTTTTGATTTGGTTTTTTTTCTCAAAACCTTTCAGACTTCTGAGTTTATTTTTTCCATAATATTCTCATAATCAACAGGTGTAATAGCCAGAGTTTTTGCCGTAAGTACTTTTATATCTTTACTTTTAACAATAATCTGTATTGTTATTTCTTCAAGATCATTACCATCACTGTCTTCTTCCTCCTCTTGAAACTCTTCCTCAATACCATCAGTATCATTATTATCAGTTTCCTTTTCATTTGACAAGATACCTGATGCACTCAATTCATTATCTTATTGAGAAGTTATTTTATCTTCATGTCTTAAACGTTGAAATTTACTATTACAAGCACTACAGAAAGTATAAGAGAACGTTCCTTCAAAATT